TTTCGCAGCTCGCATAACACATCTCGCATACCTCGCACTCTCATCTCGCTCTCGCACTTTTCGATCGAACCCCTGAAGCACAAACCACGTGCACAACAATAGTGCCAGTCTTCGTATTCTCTAGATCATCATTCGCTTGTTCGTAAAGAATTATGGAGACGCTTATGGAGTACGACAATGCAGGCGTATTCGATACCTACGTCGTATTAGAATGGGTGTACGATATACGTAAAGCGTATTTGACGGATTGGAGGTATGTTTTTGGACTAGCGTGCCGTTAGTTAGGGCTGAGCTGAACGTGTTTGATTGCCGGTGACATTTATGAATGGCTTTGGAGGGGTCGTTCAACAGTGCGTTACGCTGTGCTGCGCTGCGTGGTTTTGTGTTAAGGGGAAGGGGATGTGTTGAGTTTAATTGAGGCTTGGCTTTGATGTATTTATATGTACCGGTAGATATGGATGGGTGGGTTGGTGGATAAGGGTTTGAGTTTTATATTGGTAGATGGCAGGGAATGTAACATCAAAGGTATTTTTATTTTATAGAAATATCATGCGGTTTGTCTTTTGATTTTTTGTTTTTTCATTGCAGAGATTGGATTTAACTATTTATTTATCCATTTGTCTTTCTTTGAGCGTTCAACATACTCTACTTGGAGCATTGGGATCTCATATTCTTATATACATACCTATGTATTTGAATACATCTCATCTCGAGCCCACCAATCACCTAGATATTCTATCGACGATGGACGACTCTTCGCTCAGGGAACTACAGGGTCTTGATCTCGAATACCAAAGCCAAGTCATCTCATCTATACCTCTCAATCTTGCCTTCACGAGTTTTCTAATCGAAAATTTATTTGCCTGGTTTTGGATGATTGGGATTCAATATTTCCTTTTTAAAGTGTTGTATCAACATCAACCTCAAAATCGATCTCGACATCGAAGTGAAAAATCCCTCCGACCCTCACGCTCCTCACATTGCGAAAATACCACATCAGAAACCCAAGCACCTTCTCCCAGCGAATCATACCTCCTCATTACACTCTTCTGGCTCCTTCATTCTCTCCTCAATACCCTTTTGATATCTCTCCTAAATACTTTCGTATCCCTCCTCTCCACCCCCGAAACCACACACACTTATCTCGAATGGCGTTCTACAATCTACAACCTTCACTACTGGGCCTTTAGCACCGGCGACGAATCTTCTATTTACAGGTTTGCAAAGCTTCTCGTGCTGGAAGTGATATTTTCCTGGTTGCTTTCACAAGTATCTCAATGGGTGATGGAGACGATAATTCCGTTTTTGAGGGAGCTACGCGGAGATTATGATTTTCGAGGAGTGTTGAGAAGCGTGGGAAGAAGGACGAGGGAGATTTACAAGTTCATGCTTGATGTAGATTGGAGTCATGATTTTGAGTTTTCTCAATCATCGAATGCTCAAGTGCTAAATGGTGGTGACGCATCGACATCGCCCGATGAAAACCACATACAACAAAAAGAACAAATCATCGAGCTATCGCGTCAACGAAGCGAATGTCTGAGTACAGAGAAGGGCACTCAGGAACGAAAATTAGATTGGAAGTTGATTATTGATGCGTCGGCGCTGAATGAGATGAAGGAGATGTTGGGGCCGGCGGGGGGTTTTGGAGAGTTGGGGTTTAGTGTGGCGAGGGATAGGGTGTGTTTGGGGGCGGTGAGTAGGGGGTCAAGTTTTATGGTTACGTTTGGGTTGGAGGGGGTGGAGGGGGGTGATTGTGCGGGGGATGGGAGTAAGAGGAGGGGTGGGAGTGGTGATAGGGGGAGTGAAGGAAAGAGAGAGGAGAAGAGAGAGAGGAGGAGGGGAACGGAGATTAGGAGGAATGATGGAAGGATATGAATTTAGAAAGTCGAATTAACCAAATGAATTTAAAAGTTTGATACAGTTATCGAAGATTCTTACTTTGCTTCCCGAGTCGATAAGATATCAAGCCCACTAGGTACTTAATCGATGCCGACCATTTCTAAGGTTGTCCAGAACGACTTCCAGCCTGCCCCGCCCTCCTCATAGAAAAGCTCGCCAAAATTCCTTGAATCTCTTCCCCTCTTAATCCCTATACGATAACCCCCTTTACAGATTCTACAACATTATTAGATCTAATAGCAAGTGCCAACAGACCTCTTTTTTGAGTAAATTAAAAACATCACTCCTCAATATTGATAACTTGAAATTATATCCAGCACTTAAAATCTATGTCAAGAAGTAGAAAACCAGTACCATGATATTTCAATCCTCTATCCTATTTCATTCTCTCACATTTCATCTTCCATAAATGTTAATTACTACTACACAAAATACAGATTATCCACCATCCCAAACCCATTTTTCACTCTTCTTTTCCATTCACACTCTGTCTTGGCTATTTCGAATTTCATCTCTTTACACAAGTCATCTCGTCATAGCTCTATTCTCGAAGATTAGTATTTCGGATATAGAGAATCTCGTATGTATAATCACTTTATCTTCTTATATTCCTCTTTTCTAGATATACGGACTGAATGCTTTTTTTGTACGTGTTATATATAGAAAGGAAATCCTGCTTTTGGACTTGATCATACGATTGTGGTTGAAACATAAGTGGTTTGTTTCGGAGCGTAGCGAAAGAAACTTATGCGTCGGATTTTACGGAATTTTTATATGGCGTAATATATATCATACTTTCTATACCCAGAAATCCAATTTATATATAATCATATAATCTATATATAATTATATCTTTTATTACAGGTTTAATAAAAAATTAAAAGAATAAAAAATTGAAAAAATAAAGAATAAAGTTTATCTTTAATTCTTTAATACTAAAGACTTACTAATAACTTACTAATAACTTACTAATAACTTACTAATAACTTACTAATAACTTACTAATAACTTACTAATAACTTACTAATAACTTACTAATAACTTACTAAAAGCTTACTAAAAGCTTACTAAAAGCTTACTAAAAGCTTACTATTAGCTTATTATTATTAGTATTATTATTATTATTATTATTATTATTATATTATTATTATTATTATTATTATTATTATTATTATTATTATTATTATTATTATTATTATTATTATTATTATTATTATTATTATTATTATTATTATTATTATTATTATTATTATTATTATTATTAATTATTATTATTATTATTATTATTATTATTATTATTATTATTATTATTATTATTATTATTATTATTATATTATTATTATTATTATTATTATTATTATTATTATTATTATTATATTATTATTATTATTATTATTATTATTATTATTATTATTAATTATTATTATTATTATTATTATTATTATTATTATTATTTATTATTATTATTATTATTATTATTCTAATTCTAATTCTAATTCTAATTCTAATTCTAATTCTAATTCTAATTCTAATCTTGATATAATAATACATAATATATATAGAGGTTAATTCTTAAACTCTTAAGTCTTATAACATTAAAATTTAAATGATTTAAATGATCTAAATGATTTAAATGATTTAAATGATTTAAATGATTTAAATGATCTAAATGATTTAAATGATTTAAATGATTTAAATAATCTAAATAATCTAAATAATCTAAATAATCTAAATAATCTAAATAATCTAAATAATCTAAATAATCTAAATAATCTAAATAATCTAAATAAGAATATAGAAAAAATTATAAAAGAAAATTTCTATTATTTCTCTTATTTCTCTCATTTCTATTATTTCTCTTCTTTTTATTATTCCTATTATTTCTCTTATTTCTATTATTTAGATTATTTCTTTTATTTCTATTATTTCTCTTATAAAAATAAATGAATAAGAATAATAAGAATAATAAGAATAATAAGAATAATAAGAATAATAAGAATAATAAGAATAATAAGAATAATAAGAATAATAAGAATAATAAGAATAATAAGAATAATAAGAATAATAAGAATAATAAGAATAATAAGAATAATAAGAATAATAAGAATAATAAGAATAATAAGAATAATAAAATATTAGGCGCTCCGAAACACTGGCGAGCTAGCTCGCCCCGAAATTTGGTATTGAGGAGTTGATCACCTGCAGCATCAGATTATCGAGGTGATTTTTTTGTGTTGGCGATGCATCGGTGTTCTTTCTTCACGTTTGTTTTAAAAGAGACTGATATGGCAAACGTATAGGTATGAGTTTCGAAATTTTGCTTTAGTAGAAAGAGCTAGATGTATAACCTTAAATCAAGCTCGAAAAGACTAAACTGGGAGGTCGTTACTTACCTGAAGACGATTAGTCGAAGGAACATGGAGATATATAAGATTGTATGATTGATGTTTGTCGAGAGGTGGAGGTTTTTTGTTATGATGGATTTGTCGAAAATAGAGTGACAAATCGTGGTATTCAGTGTACTTTATATTGCGAAGATACAAATGATGGAAAGAGGAGAATGAAGATGTGGACTCGATATTCCGTTATTGGCTGACTGGTTTTTAGGGGTCATGATGTATGCGGGAGCGGGGCTAAACTTTGGCGTGGTAGAATGATACTACTTGATTGATGTTTATTATTGTATCATCTAATCATGACTCTCTTATCCTCCTTGTGACGGTAAATCTTCATGGGAAGAAACAACTTGAAAATCAGTTTGACAATAGAGCTGTTTCTCCCTACCCACACTCCCACATCCTATGCCTTCAAAGTTCCCCTAAATTGCCATTTTAGTACCAACTTTAGGAATTCGCAACAATTATCCACTCATCGCATAGCATGCTGGTTATTCACATAGCTAGAATTCTACTTCATTGCTTCTCGAAGAGATGATGTTGAGTTTTTCTTTTTTTTCTTTAGCGTTACAGCCTATTACTAAGTAGCCATACCCTCTTTCAAGATCTATCCTCTAATTTTCTCCCGGCTTGTATCTATTCTTCCCTTCAGACAGAAAATATTTTTCTCAAGATTCAACACAGCTAAGTCCTTTAGCTATCATGAATTACTTTGGAACAATGGATTACGCACATGACCTTTGTTCAGTGGTTACTGGACCTGGTCGATATGGAAGCTCAGTTGACCCAAGTACTGTATTCATTGCGATACCGAGTGTACTTTTCTCAGTATACTGTCCAGCGTGTTGCTTTGGCATGATATAGAAATACCTTTTCTCAAACGAGTCTCGGGCTATATCTTACCGGAAAAGAACTTGATATTCGTTTGTTTGTCTTTTTTTTCCATTGCTAGAGCAATTGAGATACCTTGTTTGGAAAGAAGATCTACCGGGACCACGTATCGTTCATCTAGGACGTCGATTACTCCAACTACAAAATGGGAAATCAGGTTTTAGAGACGAAGCACCTAGTACCATTCACATGGCATATGTATTTTACGAAGCATATATGGTGGTATTGGAAGAGTACAAGCAGGTCTTTGATGGGAGTGTTGGATTTATTTCTCAGATATGGTTTGATTTCGATATCGATACTCTTCATCTCGATGGTGGTCCGACTACGAAACATTCACAAGTAGAGATGAATAGTGTGAGCTGGTCTTCTGATTTTCAGAAAGTCAAATGTCTTGCTGTATTCAGTTATTCAGTAGAAACACATGGATTCCCTCATCATATCAGGAATTTCTCCATGCGTGACTTCGCGTCTAGAGATTGGTTGTACTAAATGCTAGTTCGTGGTAGTATTACCAATGTTATCCTCATCATTAGGCACCATCCCTTGACTGTCTATGATAATCTCACGCTTATCGACTTACAAAACACTGTCGTATCATTGGCCATACGTGAGAGTCCATACGATCCCACTATCGAGAGGACACTACAACGAAAACAACAATTCTTCCGCAATCGATATTGTCCTCGTAGTATCAAGCTAGGACCAAGCTTAGCAAACATTGGAAGTTGGAATGAATACTGTAAGACAGCAAGAAGCTGCTGCAAACGGCGGTGTAGCTCCTTTTGAGATGCCCATAGTTGAATGCAAAACCATGAAGACGAAGGCGATGGACATGAATTTGAAGGAAGTAGTAGCACAATATCAAGTGAAGAAAAATGAATATGAAAGGAAGAGAAGAGAAAAGGGGGAGAATAGAAAGGGGAGAGATGCTTAAGGGAATATTTCTGCCTTCTAGACTGATGGGAATTGGAAATTAAGTGGCTTGAAAACATGAAGATTTGTGATATGGCTAGAACTTTGCAAAATCACATTGGCCAGTGAGCCATCTTGTTCAATTTCAAAGTTAATTTTTGTCGTCAGGGTTGGGAATCGGATTTGGAACGTCTGATTGTGTGATTCTTAGGGAAGAGGTATCGAGAGAAAGTTTTCCTTTTCTTACCTTCTTAGAATTGTGGTTTTTGTTCATCTGAGATGGGAATATTTTCATTCACTTTTCCATCGACTAGCCAAAGATCTTTTGTAGCTTGACAACCACAGCAATACGATATACAATTACATATCCATGACTTTCTAGTGCTATCCATACTTGGCTCTTAATCCCACATTCATGAGGTTTTTACTTGAAATGAAAGTGCATTGACATTACTCGTATCATCTTCCAGCGTAGGAGAGAAGGCAGTCCCAAGAAATTTTTAGACATAGTCCGAGGAATACGTCGTTCGAGAAAGAATATGGCGTGAATATTCAACACCGATGATAATGCCTTGAGTCTGTCAGTAGAATACTTATTTAGTGAGCCAAGATTACTTAGAATCTATTCTCTTGTTCGGAATTAACAGTCATGAAAGCTCTCGAAATCCGGGCAATCAAGTAGCGAAAGAATCAATGGGACCCAGACAAAGATGAGCTAAACGGTGGATCACAGTTAAGCATGATCTTGGCAGGCACGATGTTTTCTTGGAGAAACAAGCAGTCGGTAATTTACCGGTACCGGTACTGGTTTGCCGAAGATTATGATCTGTCGAGGAAGGAGAGGGGGCAGGCTGTGCTTAAGCGAATATTCGAACATTGGTGGGACGGTTCGATTAATATATTTAGGTTCGGGTGTGAAGATAAAGGTATGAGTTGTGTCATGCGGAAGCTTTAGAAATGGGTAGTGAACCGATTCAATAATTGACAAATTGTATGGGGTTTGTTTTTTTGTGGATTTATAGTGTGGTGTTTCCTGTCGATCAGTACCTGGAGGGATTGAAGAAAGTCCGCATTCCGGACAGCTTTTGGTGATGTTGAAGAAGGAGTGAAGGTTGTTTCTCTGTACTCCGTATATTTGTGATGGGTGGTTTGTATCTTGATTGCTTGAGTTCTACTCCGCATACTACTGTTTCGAATTGAGATACTGGTTCATTGAAAATCCATAGTATTTAATGCGGAGTTTATGATGTTCCAGCTTCTCCGAGGACACAATTGCTTTGTTCTAACTATAGTCGGTGCTTTGGACGAACCGCCCATTCAGCACAGGTGTAACCCTGTATTCCAACGATTTTGAGTTTTAACCACAAACATGTATCTGGGATTGTCAGAATTGCGTATTCGAAGCATAATTTCTATAATTTTACATTTATAATTTGTGCCTAAAATAAGGTTAAAAGAATTTAAGGTTAAAAGTTAAAGCCAGAAATCCACTGTGATGCCAAGCGAATTTATGGGTGTGAAATTTTGATACGAGCCTCATTCATTTCACGTGTTTCTATAGCTCATCTGAAATGGTCGATCGCATATCGTATTCGGAAAAGGCCAAGAGATTTATATACAACGTTGGACGATTGTAGTAAAGATGCGATTGCCAAGATTGCTGAGTACTTTACATTGTCATTGTGAATGTCACAGAATGTGGATAACCAGAGATGAATAGTTGCTTGGAGAGAAGTTACGGGAATGGAAAAAGCCCGGCCTGGGTAAATACCGAAATTGAAGCTCTTGGATGAAAGAATTGAGGCAATGCAAGAAGATGTTGCTGTGAATTTTCTGGGTGGATATACTTCTTGTGCGGATTGAATGCATCGAGTGATGATAGCAAAATAGTATATAAGTATCGACGATGTTCTCTCTTTCAATTCATCATCAGCATCATCAGCATCAGCATCAGCTTCCACATTCATTCATTCATCCATTCATTCATTCCAAATCACCACAATCGTTAAGATCAGCAATCTGATTCAAGATGTACTTCTCCAACGCAAAATTCCTTTCTATCCTCGCTGCCGCTGCAGCAGTCAAGGGTGCTCCCATTGAGGAGAACACTATTCAAGCTCGTGCCGTCGTTGATCATGACTCTATCAATCCATGGCCAGAAAACGTACCTGGTAACGCCTTGGGTAACACTTTGAAGAGATTCGAGCCATTCCTTCACATTGCTCATGGTTGTCAACCATACAGTGCGGTTGATGGTTATGGAAATACCAGGTATGAAAACTACTTTTTCCTTTCCCTTCTGATATCGCTTTACTAACACATTCTGTAGTGGTGGACTCCAAGATACTGGCAATGTCTCAGCCGGTTGCCGTGATCAGAGCAAGGGTCAAACCTATGTCAGAGGTGGCTGGTCTGGAGGTCGCTATGGTATCATATACGCCTGGTGTAAGTATCTCCCCCATTCTCCCCCACTCATTTCACACCTTCTAACCCTTTTCAGATTTCCCCAAGGATCAACCAGCGGCTGGAAACGTCGTCGGAGGCCATCGTCACGACTGGGAGTACATCGTCGTCTGGGTCAACAACCCTTCCGTCGCCAACCCCACCTTGATCGGTGCCGCCGCATCTGGTCACGGAAGTGTGAAGAAGACGACCAATCCCCAACGCCAGGGTGATAGATTGAAGGTCGAATACTATGTCTCTTTCCCAACCAATCACGAGTTGCAGTTCACCGACACATTGGGCAGAGATTTGCCAATGATGTGGTACGACTTCTTGCCAGCTGTTAGCAAGACAGCTTTACAGAACACCAGCTTCGGAAAGGCCGACTGTCCTTTCAATGACCACAACTTCGCCAACAACCTCGCCAAGGCTGCAATCTAGATCAGTGTAGGCAATAGTATTTCCCGTAATCCGTATACGGGTTAGATAATGGTACGTATCGATTTTTCTTCGAAATGTGCACGTACGTGGTATGGAATTCGATACCACTGATAAGATACGGGAATACGGATCTCTGATTGGCACGGAACAAGCCGAAATACGCGAATTTGAGGTTATTCCCAGATTTCAATAATATCCAATTATATATTCAATTGAATTATTATTAATTGATAATAAACTATATATTATTGAATATTTTGATTTTTTTAAATGTGAATATCAATACTTTTTACAAATTCGATTGTTTTGAGAGGTTTAGAGATAATTAAGTAGTATTTTTTTTTTAATATTTAGGCTTTATTAGATTTAGTTTTCATTTTTAGGTTTTTGTATTTCAGTTTTTTTGTATATCTTTGTAGATATCTGTTTTAAGTAATATCTACGGCAGTGAGTATTCAACTGTCTAATATACACTATCTATTATATCAAAAGCTTCATACACGCCACCGTTTTACTATAGTATACTATTGCCTACACTGATCTAGGTGTTTTTCATGTCAGAAATTCTTAGGTGCATTGTTCAGGGACTTTCTTTTTCTGATTTTCTTGATGTTTTGAAGTGGGAGTACGAGTCATGCATTCAATGGGAAGGCTTTGGAGGATGAGATGGGTTGGGCTCCGGTTTATGTTTTCTATTGTATCTCTTTCTTGAGTCTTAAAAAGAATCTGTAATGAAATTAGTATACTTCTGCAAGTACTACTCTGTCCAAAGTCTCCAGCTTGACCCTGAAGCCAAAATTGGATGACCACGTGGACCGGAGCTTTAGTACCGCGCAGGGTAAGCTTTAAATAAACTACCGCTTTAGGGCTGAGATTTATTGTGAGCTCAATCGAGTGTTAAAGAGCATGAGATCAGGGGTACACGTGACCTACATTCCTCCTGCTCACATCAGATGGCATGGTTCTGGATGTCATACTATCCCAAAGGAAACCAAAAGGTTTTCATCTTTTTCCCCTCTTCAAAATCACCTTTCTACCTAGTAGTTTATTGCGACGTGTAAGTAGATATACACGTGATGCTGTAGCGCTAGCGCGTGTTGAGTGCATGTAACCTTACTCGTCTTTCTCGACCCCAGAAAAGTATTAACAATGCAACTACCACCCTTCAATCATGAAACCTGATACCAAAATATGTATTATTCTACATGATATTAGAAAATGATACTCATATCGCTCTCTAATCAATTTGTCCAAATGGCCAAGTCACACATAAAGACAGTCAACTCGAGGTCTCGAGCCACAGGAGTAAATTATGAGTTGCCTCTTGAGATATGCTTAGTTGGCAATATGTCCTCACCCAGCAGATGATGAAAGTCAGTAGCATGCCTATTCTTTCTCAATTCAGCCATACTATGCAAAGTGCAAGGATTACATGCATTATGTGTCCTACCTTGACATAAAGCGCCACCAAACATTCGCAGAGCGTTTGTCTTTTCGTTTGAAGGTTATTGTTACACACAGCGGGGAATTGCTATGACAATTCCGCTAGACTCTTATGCTTCAAATTTGTTGTTGGTTTCTTCTAATTATAAAGTCGGGCTGTAGCGCGGTCGTAGAGCTCGGGATATATTTTACTGGCATCTTAAAATGGTGCTTCGCAGAATCACACAAACTCGCACAGAATCGCATCAAATCTCACAGTCAGTCTTGTTTATACTTCGATCATGCCAAAAAAATCGATGCCTCCCAACCCTGGTTTGCCTACGCAACGTATCTTAAGGTCAAATGTCAATGCTCATGCTGTATATTGCATGCACTGCGACGCTGAATATGAGATCTTGGTTCCGAAATGTCCAAATTGCGCACTACCTCAATACGAGAGTTCTATCCGTCCTCGAAGACCTGCGAATTACTACGATGACGACTTTGATGACGGGGCCACGTTCACTTGTTTCATGAAACTGCCGCTCGAGATTAGGGTTATGATTTGGCAAGCATCTTTACCTGGGCCACGGATTGTGCTTCTTCGCCCGACCCGGTTTATTGGATGGAAAAAGACATGGTACTTTGGGTCGCATGAAGTTCCAGATGTCCCAGACTATGTTTTTGAATCATGGAGTCCAATCACAGCCTTGTATGTCTGTCGTGAGTCATTCAATGTTGCGTCTACGAGATATACCCAGGCTTTCGCTTCGCTAGAGTCACCCTTCAAAACTTGGTTCAACTTTGACATCGACACCTTGTATATTCGTCACAGGGAAGTTTTTCCTTATAAAATACCTGGGATCGAGAATTTAAAACACTTAGCTGTATTTGCCAATCCTCTTCCGGTAACTGCCCTTGATAAGGATTACGACACGGAAGCGTGGTGGGACTTTCTAGACTCTGTCGTCCTTGAAGTGTTTCTTGATGGTTACCTAGTTGACGCAGGAAATCTTGAGGAACTTACACTCGTCACTCGCCGTTACCCATTTAATGCACGTGCCTATGCACCTGATGGATATGACGATCTCTCATTCATTGACCTTCAAGATATCGACGCTTCTCTAAATTTCTACAAAAGCCCGTACGAACCGAAGCTTGAGGAGTCTTTTCAATCCACACAACAAGAATATGCTGCGCAGCTTCGAAGCCTAGCATCGATCAAATTTGATGCTTTGGGGGAATACCGTAATACGAACTATGAAGCACCAAAGTACGAGATGCCGGTCATCAGAAACATGATCGTTACAACTACATCAGTGAAAGCAAAGCTTGAACGAGCCAAAGTAGCATTCGAAGTGAAGAAGGCCGACTACATGAAGAGTAATAAATTGCTTGCAATATAAGGGTATACCAAGCATTCGCAGGTGACACAGTCTCTTGCTCCCCTCAATGACGGTTTTGCTTTGGTATCAGGAGCGGGGGATCTTTCACACTTCATTTCTCTCCAATTTATTGGAAATATTGTTATTTCATTTCCGGACCTGGGATTTCTCATTTACTGTTTTATTATGGGTATTTTGCTCTTTGACGTTGAATCTGAATGTTCAGGCTACATGCCCAACGTTACTTGGTTTTCTTTTGCATCCCTGTAGTGTTATTTGAGCATCCGTTTTTGATGGTCTATTTTTTTGGAAATTATGTGACGGCTGGACGTTTATCATTCTCAAAATTTTCTTTGGAGTCTTCAGCGCAAGTGTCTGTTATTACAATTTCGATGCCCTTCTTCTAAATGTATCAGGTATTCTAAAAGTCTAATGACCAGCCTACTTTGAATTTTTGTGCTTAATAATGTGATGCATGCCAAAATCCATAAACTGCTGCTTCAAATCTCGTTGAGGACTTCGCTGTCTAGCTCCAATGGGTCACCGAGTAATTTGAAGTCGGTATCCGTCAATTTGAATGCTCCATTCGCTTACCCGTCATTGCTACTCCATGCATATAATGGCGTTTTCTTTACCTGTATTTTCAGTGGGAGTTGTGTTACACTGAGCGGGGATGTGATCACGGCTTGTGCCGTATTTTCTTTTGGTTGCATCAATACCTTTATGGCATGTCAATCATTTTGCTTCTTCCAGTGAGTCCAAACACCATGTCAAACGCATAGGTAGAGAAATGACTAGTCATCTTACATTTTGGACACTACTAATGCTTTTTGTCGAATTTTCAGAACAATTTTTTCCTTTCTACTTTGGTTCCGAAGAACATATCTGAGGGGCACCTTCGTGTTGTAGTCAATGTTTCCTGGTGATTCTTTCTTTCCCTCTGTTCAAACACTTCAACAAAACGAGCTGCTTTTACCAATTGGGAAGAACATATCCATAGGCACCTTCGTATCTCATTCAAGACTGTCCTTTCGTTTAATCTTTCTTCATTTGATTCAATCCCCCAAGACAGGTTATATTCTACGAACTCCTTATACCATGGCTCATAGTCAATATCCACACGGTGTTATCGAATCTGCTAGTAAGCAATCTGGCCTTCGGTCAAACTGCTCCCCTGCTTCAATATACTGTGTTCATTGCGATGCTCAATACAACCCCTCAGACTTGGAATGCCCCAAGTGCGACTTAGAATGTATACCACCATCGCTTACGACTCGCAGTCATCGACCTAGAGAGTATTATGATATTGTACAAACAGAACCAGCCGAATCTGAGTCATTTCCGCACTTCAATAAACTTCCCTTGGAGATCAGGATTAAAATATGGCGGCAGGCATCTTTAGCGCCATGTATATATCATATCTACGACTCTCGAAAATTTCGTGCTTCTCCGTTGTGTATACCAATATTGTCCGCCTGCCGAGAGTCCTACGATGCCGTACATGCGCAGTATGGAGGAGTTTCCATCATCAATCGAGAATTCTCTTTTTCTTCTGAATGCATGCACAATTGCGACATATTGTACTTTGACAATATATTTGCCGAAAATTCGAGTCGTTTTGATCGATTAGACATATTTTTACTTCAGCGCCAAATTGGAGAAATCAAACATTTAGCTGTTTGCACATTCGCCTTGAAACGAAATGCGTTTAGACCTTTCTCAGATACAGAGTACCAAATATACTTTGCTCTTTGGAAAACCAATATTGAGGTACTTACCATAGTACATCGTCGACATGGCGAGAAGTACTGCCCTACTTTGACCTTCATTGAAGTTCAAGACATTGACCTCTCTCTCGAATTCTATCAACAACCCTACAATCCAGCAAACGAAAACACCTTCAATCTCGTGCAAAATAATTATAAGAAACAACTTGAGAGCTATTTTCCGATAAATAGAGAGGGTCTATTCGAGTTTGGCCGTGAGCATTCGCAACGAGAAAAGCTTCCAGTCAAAGATTTCCAAAGACCTCTCATCTTTCGACAAAAGATTGCCACCACGATGGCAATGGAAAGGAGGCTGAACAGAGCAAAAGCACAATTCGAAAAGAGCAAGTCTGAATACTTGAGGCAAGCTGCCCAAGAGATATCACTGGCGGAATAAATGTAAGTTCTCAATCTCTGGAGTAGTCTAATGCGTCATATGTCTTGGACATTCTGACTTCTGTTCAGGAGTATAAATTCGTCAATCTACATACCGCACACCGAAGTCTTGGGAATATGGTTAGAGGTTCATCAAGTGGTGCTGCTCATCGAGTAAGCCATCATCGCATATGAGTAGAGAAGGACAGGAATAAAAGGGGTGTGGATGTATTTGGTGTTTTAATCTCTTTAAAAAGTGGTATTGTGTGTGGTCTTTCATTACGAGGAAAAATTTGTTGTTCTTCTGCAGGGTATTGTCTGTTTTGGTTTTTATCTTTGGCTTTTCGGCTATTCTTTTGCAAGAGATATCGGGTTCCAGTTCGAGAGTTGAAAGTGTGTCTAAGAGTGGGCTGCACATTGCGACAAGATGGGAGGATGGTCTTCATACCACGTTTCAACATTCAAGGATTCTTCTTTTACAGACGCTGAGTTTAACGACACAGTAAATTCTGCATTTCTATTTTGCTTGTTTTTTTGCAGATCCAAAATCTCCACCACCTCTCACCATGTCGGTTTTGCACAATTATTAAGGGCTAGCGAGACACTGTGCATTGAAGTGACAGTTCTAGCCTAACATAGGTTACCTTTTTTTCAAGGATCATGATGATTATTTTTAGCACTCCTATAGAAATTGCAAATTTGATACCAACACTGGCAAATTCATTATCATTAATATCAAATCAACATTTAAAGATTCTTCACAATTCTCCTCCACAACGGCACCTTCTTACCCACCTCACTCCCCTCTCCATCCTCCAAGCTTTCAAATCCTCCCGCTTCCGTAGGATCTAAATCATCTCTCCTCCCCTCATCCAAATCAATCTCTCTCAAATCCCAAATTTTTGTCCGAAACCAGAGTTTATACCCCACCCAAATCAATGGAAAAAGTGCCAACAAAATATACGCATCGACAAAGTCCCCCGCACTAAAAGGACTCAAAGTTGTCCACCCTTGCACCAATGCCAAAAAGATATTTGCCGCCAATCCAAAATACGCATTATACGGATACGCGAAAGAGACAAACGGTAGATCAGAAATCCTCCTTCCTTGCGCTTTCCACGCCGAGCGAAAACGGATATGAATGAATGAGATTGAGCCCCAAACAAGAAACGTCGAGACGCCGGAAAGGTTAACGATATAATTGTAAGCGGCTCCCGCCCCGGAAGAAACATTCATCATACTCAACGCGCCGAAAAGATTCGTGAAGACAATCGCGTAGATGGGAACTCCTCTCTGATCCGTGAATCTCAAGATTCTCGGCGCGTGTCCTTCCTGCGCGAGGAATAATATCGTTCGAGAACCTATGTAGATAGAACTATTCACCGCGCTCAAGCACGTCGCGAGAATAAACGCATTGATGAGATGAACGCCTCCTTCCCACCCTGCATTTTGTATCGCAACCGTCATGGGACTTCTGAGGGCTTTCGATCCGGCACTTGCCAATCCCTCTGCATTCCACGGACAGGTCATTCCGAAAAACAGGGCAGAGCCCATATAGATAAAGATAATGCGCCAAAACACCTGTCGAATCGCAAGAGGAACCGCATGTTTCGGATTGCGCGTCTCGGCCGCCGCAACGGCAATCGATTCACAGCCCGCGTAAAAAGTAGAGCAAAACACAAAGACCTTTGCGACTCCTCGAAACCCGTCTGCAAACGCCCCCGGATCATGCCAGTACTGGAACCCCAACGTGTGATCCTGACCCTTCAAACCCCCCGCCGCATAAATAATGGAGAAAATAAAAAATGCAACCAAACCCCCCAATTTCAACAACGCGAGCCAGAATTCCGCTTCGCCGAATGCGGCTACACCTAACAACTGGAAGGCGAGAAAGGCAAACCAGAAAATGAGGAAATAGCCCCAGAGAGGAACTTTGTCGCTCCAGAAGATGAAAATGGAGGAGAGGGTGTTGTATTCATTTGCGAGTACGGCAGCCCAGATGATGAAATAGTTCCAGCCGACGGCGACGCTGAAGGCGGGGTCGAAAAAACGTGATGTGAGGGATATGAAGGAGCCGGACGAGGGATAGAGAGTGGTGAGTTCTCCGAGGGATTGCATGATGGAGAAGGCGATGAGACCAATGACTCCGAAGCCGATGAGGAGGGATGCTGGACCACCGGATGCGAGGGCACCACCTGCGCCGACGAGGAGACCGGGTCCGATGATTCCTGGGGTGTGTTAGATTGATGATATAGAAGGTGTTGGGGGGGGGATGTAGTTACCTGCTAATGCCATCATACTTAAATGACGAGTTTGGAGACCTCGAGAAAGCCCACTATTGGGGTCAATGGGAAGGATATCATTTCCCACATCATCGGATGTATTCTGAATATGATCCTTTCTATCTGGAAGTGACATTTTTGAATATCTCACAGATGAGTATTCTATTCTACAATACCCCAACAAAGTATATTTGGGGGCGAAAAGGTAACCCCGCGTAATACAAATCAATGAGAATCTACAAAGTGAAAATCATTTCGATTTCAGCGGTCATTGGGATGTGGTATATAAACATGATCACTCTACGGGATGTCTGTGGTCGATTTTCACCACAATTGGATAAAAAAATGATGCCATACTAGCCCAATCTTTACAATCGCTTGAAGTAAAAATTATGGGACTAATGACTAAAATTGGAAAGGATCTTTTCTATCTTGACTTATTTAACATTTTAAAAACAAGAAAGAGCCGTAACATGGCCATGATAGCGTTTAAAAGGGCGTATATGAAATTGGACACGAGAATTGCTATGCGCTATGCAGAGATTTCTTCTAAAGTAGACAAATTTGCAAAAGTCTAGACATAGGTAATTACATGCATCAAATAAACAGAATTGTTTTCACGTGATTATCTTTCCAAAATTCCAAAGACTGTTGTGCAAATCAAAAATCTTATATCAAGTATAAATCCACTTGGTTATTATAATGGGTATATAAACTAATTTTCGGGTCTTGTAACACCTCTTCCCCTATTCACTTGAACCATTTTATCTTCACCAGCACTAACAATTCCAACATCCTTATCCCAATTAACATCGAAAACCTTCACTCCCTCACCACCAACTGTCTTAGTCGTCTTATCTTTCCTACTTTCTCTTTCAATGATATAAACTGCCTCTCCAACAACACCAAGTCCTTCATCTTTCGTTCCTTGTCTTGTACTTCTAAGATCCCATACCCTACAGGTTCCATCATGACCTGCTGATACTAATCCATAGTTGCTATCAGGATCCGCAAATATTGATGAAACGAAGTTGGTATGTCCACGAAGTGTCATGGCTTGTGTTGTAGCAGCCGAAGCTCTAGGATCAATGAGAGCGATGTGACGTGCGGTTGTACCTGCTGCTATTATTTGATGACCAATTCCTGGTAGAGCGCTTAATGAGAGTATGGGATTCAACAGAGTTCTCGTATCGACAATGCTAGAAGTGGTGATATCGAGTGTTTTGATGGTATGATCTTGAGAAGCTGAATATGCAACGGTAGGATCCTGAGGGTTGAAAATGACGGCAGTTGCAGGCCCATTGTGACAATCCATGAGAGATAGAGGACCGCGTTGAGGAGTGGATGTGGAAGTTGTAATTTTGCGACGTTTGGAAGATGGTCCAGAAATAAGGCTGGTATTTACTTCAGGTGCCGAAGATTTGTGTGAAGTCCAGAAACCAATTTGTCCATCTGCTGAAGCAGATAAAATGCGATTTGATGGTCCATGAACTGCGATTGAATCAATGCTACCGGTATGGCCATATAATTCCATAGTTGGCTTCAGTTGCGCTGAGAAATGATCCTCCGATTCAGAATAATTCCATATCCTTATTGTGCGATCCAAACCTGCCGACGCAATTTGTCTGGCCGAGAGCCATTTCGCAGCTTTTACTCCAGAAGTGTGTCCACCAACACTGGCAGGCGCAGATGTTGCAATGGCCTGACCTGACTTGTTCCAAACTCTGAGAAGTCCATCGTAAGAACCTGACAATATGCGCTCCTGTCCTTCGACGATTGAGTTTTTACCCCAAGTTCCTACAGCAGAACTACCAGATAAAACATCAACACTGCTAACCCAATCATCATGCTCGAAACTTGCTTCATAAAGCGGAGGAATCAAACTTCGGACATATTGTAAGTTTAATGTGGTTTCGGAGGATAATCCATTCGCAGTAAGATATTCATCGAGGGTCGTTCGCAAGAATGTGCCGTTGATCAGGAAATCGAATGGTATCGGCGAAGAGGTATCGAGCATCGCCTCGGAATTGAGAATTTGTGAAAGTCCATATCTTCGTACATCTATTTGATCGTTAGTTTTGAAAAAGACTTCAAGAAGACCTGAGGGAAACTTGGAGTAAAACTTACTGGTAGGAACGAGCAATTGCTGTTTTCCTTCAGGTAATTCAATATCTGGGGATGTGGTACTGAAATGCACTTGAACCTGTCCTTGCGCCATGTTTGCGACTGGAAAGTGTAAATAGTTGTAGATTGGAAAAGAATTGATGATTTCTTTGCAGGAAGTTTCTTGCACATGAAGCATTTCGAGATGGATTTTTTTTCCGGCCGTGCATTGATACCATCAATGCAGTTTGGTGGTCCACGCGTGTTCGAGGCGTCGCGGGGATTTTACCAATTTGATTAAGTCACGAAATGTGAACTGGGTACACTTTTTCGATCAAGCATCGTTTGTGTATGCGTTGATTTCATACAAACTTCATGAGTCTGTCATGCAGGATGGTATGAGCTCTTCAAGAAGGCAAATACTCATCATCGTTTACATCAGCATCAATGATTGTCGTTGGTCAAATATTTACTAGCTCTTGCGAGGCGGCAAGGGCACAGAATGTCAAGACCTTTTAGATTCACAAGCGTTGACATCGAAGCACAAGAATACTGAAGATCTTTGGAAACAATGGAAAGGGAATACTCAAGTTGCATCATCCATGCCATGTTCAATAGCTCACGCAAGTGCACTCCAGTCTCGCGATTTCAAAGTTGTCGATCGGTTCTGCCAATGATCGGGGTCTGAAAACCCTCATGTCACAATCTTGAGCTTTCTGAATCTATTGTCAAGTCATTACAATGGAATTGTATGGACTTGCAGCTCAATAGGTGTTTTTCAACAAGATATTGGCTAGTTATGTTGGAGAGAAATCACACGTTCACAAGGGTACAACATCAGGTCTATATCCCTTCTACAACATGACATTCACTCAATATGTTGACAAACCATCGCCGTACGAGGTCGGCAGGTATAAAGAGGTATTCAAGCTCTGTTAATCCGATCTCTCGTTTTCTTTCCTCATACGTGTGTTGATCCATCGACTAAGTGTAAACCTCCATACTTCCCAATGATGCCTTTACTTTCTATCCGCGCTGATGCTCTGCTCTGCTCAACCAGAGATTTATCAACCCTATAAGAATATCTGCTCATTGAGTTCAGACTTGATAACTTGGACAGAACAACAACTTTGAGTTCTCACACGATCTTTATTTTCCACAGAAAATCTCCTATGTACTCACATGCCCTAAAAGTTCAGATGAGTTTACTCTCATACTTCATGTATTAGAATCTAGACTACTAAGTCTAGAATCTCTCTCAAAATTGTATTTACTGATCCACGATTCCTGGAGTCTTCAAGTACCAAAAAATGCCCAAACATTAAAGTAATAATATCATCGGAGAATCAGCCCCTACCCTGAGATCTAAACTTCCGCTTCCCACAATAGAATCTACCTTTCATCTTCCCGCTATATAATCTAACCCACATCATGTATCACATTCTCCCACTATACAATCTATCACAGAATTCAACGGATATGAGAGTAGTTAATTGTAATTTTTGGAATCTACTAAAGGCCTACTAGTCGCTGCATGGATTGACGGGACACTTCACAATTTTAGAATTTTTTCAACAAATTCATTCTTCAAATGTTTGATATCAAATTTCATCTTTTGATTGTTCCATTTCTAATGGATAATTGTGACAATTCCTAAGATATACGAATTGAAATATCAGACGATCTCCACGAGCCAGCTTTTTGTAGTGGTGTCCCGTCAGTCTGTATACCCACTAGTGGCCGTGCAAGTGGCCGGGGGGTTTTTGATATTTAGAAATCACTTTTCGGTGCAGTGAATATTCATTATAGATTAGGTACATTTGAATGAATATTGAAGCTATGATTTTACACAATGCGACACCTCTCGAATGAAATTCGACATTGAGCGTCTAAAAATGAAACCCACACATATACAGAACATCCAAATCAACGAACAAATAACAAACATTCCATATACACACGCAGATACATCTAAACCACAAATCAGGAAAGATCATCTTCTAGAGGCTTCTCCCCCTTCGCCTTCAACTGTGCAGAAACTTCATCGACATCTTTCCAAACTCTTAATATATTACCGCCGACAACCTTTGCAGCATCTTTGTCGCTGACTCCTTGTTTGAGAAGCTCGGCTACTAAGTCTGGAAACTTGCTTACGTCGTCTAGTCCCTTTGGTGTGTCGGGGATACCGTCGAAATCACTACCGAAGCCTACGTGGTCATAGCCGATGAGATCACCGATATGCATGACATGTCTGGCTACATGTTCTAAAGTTGAGTTGTTGGGATAGAAATCTGGAAGTCCGTTTGTATTGGACGAGTTTGCAACGCATGATACGAAGTCTGGCGAGAAATTGACCATGACGAGGGAATTTGTTTTCTTGACAAGTTGTAGGACATCGTCAGGTACATTTCGTGGATGAGGACATACTGCGTAGGCGGATGAATGACTGAAGATTACTGGGGCAAGACTACCTGACCAGTCGGCTTCCCAGCCGAGCACAGCACGCATTGTGTCTTGACTAGTATGCGATAGATCGACAATCATTCCTAATCTATTCATCTCATGGATAAGCTGACGACCAGCGGGGGAAACACCTCTCCAGTGAGGTTTGGATTTCTCGATACCACCCTCTGGGAGCTCAACCAGTGCCGCATCTGCGTAGCGATTGTGACAGTTGTGTGTCAAGGTTGCGTAGCGAACTCCAAGGGTATAGTATTGGCGGAGATTAGATAGGGAGTTTCCAATTTGGTGCAGACCTTCAATGATATATGGTGATATGAGTTGGCCGTTTTGGAAAGCAGTCAAGGCAGTGCTACTGTCTCCTGGAGGTGCAAAATGAGAGGGGTAGGCAGCTTGGAGACGAGCGAGAAGGTCAAGTTGTGTCAAAGTGAAGTCAACGGCTATGTTAGAAAGTTAGTTCAAGGCTTACAATCAATCTGAGAGAAAACCAATCTGCGGAAGAAGTCGCGGAAGACGTCATTGATAATCGTAGAACAATATTGTATAGAGAGAGCAAGATGTAATGAGGGAAGT